TAAAAAATAAAAATAAAAAAACATATTTTTTATGCCATAAAAAAATATTTAAAAAAAAATGGTAAGAGTTTTTCTCAATTGGGTTAGTCAAAGTTTCAAACAATAAGTTAGGCATATTTAGTACAGAACATATTAATCCAAATTGGGTCAACGAACTAACCATGCATTAGAAACCAAGGTTAAAAACACAAGTGGTTAAGAAGGACAACCACAAAACCCAAATTTTATATCAACAGTCGTTACTACTCATCATTGTCACCTTCTTCTTCTTCAACTTCATCTTCATCTTCATCATCATTCTCACCCTACTGCATCTTTCTTTCCTCTTACTCTCTCTTCTTCATCCCTTCATTTCAATTTTAATTCTCCACAGTTGCAAAATTTAGAAAACCCAGTTTCTTTAACAATCCCCTTAATTGACATCTCCAGATGATTTGGGTCACCACTTACCAAATAGATTTTCGTCCGGCCAGCAACTTCTTTACTTGAGTAGTGAGCAGCAAGTAGCGGCGTGAGCAACAACAGTGAGTAGCGGCACCACATCAGTCCAATTTCTCCCTCCCCTGCGGCAAACCTAAAGAAGATCAAAGGTCAAATTAATGTTTGAATTTATGGAAGCATCTTCTTCAATCTTTGAAAGTAAAATCAAGATATCAAACGAGTTTACTATAAAATTGAGATTTTACGATTTTACTCCTGATTTTATGGAGATTCGATTTTGATAGAGTTTACTCGAATTACATATCTAACATCGTAAAATCGTCCAATTTTATGATCTTAATATATTATATTATTATTTCTTTTCATCTCATTAGTAACGTCAATAACTTTTTTTCCACTTTTTTTTTAACATGTTTTTCCACTTTAATTATATGCATTAATGAGATAAAAAAATTATTGACATGATATATTGTAATTGATTGAAAATATTATTAATATGATATTTTCAAGATATAATAAATTCTTTCAATAAGAGAAAAATTAATATCACACGAAAAAAAATAAATTTAACTTTATTTATTTAAAGACATCTAATGTATGAATGATAATTACCTCAAAAAATAAAAAAATATAAATATACAAAATAAATATGAAATTGTTAAACTCAAGTTAATTTTTGTGTTTTTTAAACTAAATATTTTAAATTCATATCTTAAAGTGGGGGACATTAAATTTAAGAAAGAGAAAAAGGATGAAAATTCATCTCTTCCAAATGAGCTCAAGACTCATCCGAGTATTGAAACACGTGAAACGAAGAATTACTTATGCCGAAACCCATATCTATGACGAGATTGTATCCACTCACGTACCTGGCCTCCTCACAAGCCAAAAACAATGCTGCATTAGCAGTATCCTCAGTTAAATTTAATTTTTCATCTATCAACTATTAATCATTTTTCATTTTAGTTTAGAGAGTTTAATTTCTTTCAAAATCATATATAAATTTTTAAAATTATTTCAAATTCATATACCTAAAAAACTATCATTAGCTTTTTTAATGAAATCTCATTGCATGTTTACGTGGCAGTAATTATGTAGCACACATAATTCTGAAAAATTACACTTTAATTCTAAAAGCTTCGTAAACTTTTCAATTAAGTTTTATATTCAAACAATTTTACTTTCTCAGTGAGATATTTTTTTTTTATTTTTAATTTTTGAATAAATTTAAATGTTTTAATTTTAATTAACAACTAAAAAATTCATCATTGTCATTATTAAGATAAAATTATATTATTTTTTTATTTAGTTCAAAAAATTAATTTTATTTATATTATTTCTTTCTCAAAATAACTTTTTTTCTTTTTTCAAATTAAGAATTCGAGGATAATTTATATATACTTATATTACCTTTAAACAGAAATAAAAAATGAAGAGAAACATTTTGTGATTGAATGATTAATTAAAGTGAATAGATAATACTAAGGTTAAAGTAAAAAATATATTTGTTTAGCTCGAAAAATAAAAAAATAATTAATTTGAGACAAATTTGAAATTATAGAGCGATAATTATTTTGGAACAAATGGAGAAAAGTTAAAATGTA